CACGAAGCGGTCAGGAAGAACGACCCGGCAGCGGGGCTAGGTCTCGTCCTTTATTCTCCAAAGCGGTTCGCCCAGAGGCATCAGCAGAAAGGGAAACAGCTCGGGCTTTGGGGCAGGACACCCAGCAAAACAACAGGGGGAAAATTGTCCAAAACCAAGGTTTGGAACAGAAAGAACTAAACGCGGTCAGTTCTTAAGTGGGTACAGGTTGACCATACTAGGGTTAAGCTTGTGAACATAGAGGCCTGAGAAGACATACAGAATCAAGTATTTCTACTGAATTGTAGCAAACAACAATGAAATTCAAAAAACAACTCTATAATGCTTAAATTAAGTGAGACTTTTAAACTTTTCCTTCAACAGCAAAAGAGGAAAAAAAACACAACACAAAGAGAGATTCTAAAGGCATTTTAATTAGTCCTTAAAATAACAGTCAAAGATGTTGAGCACATCTGCTGATACCTTTCCCATTATTTTAGGGATGAGAGCTTCAAGTTCACTGGGAGAACAGCTTCCAGGTTTCTTACAAGAAAAGGAGGGGTGGAGTGCAAAAGGGCAGAGCTAATAAATAATACTTTAGGAGAAGCCTCATAAGAGGCCTTCTTTTAACTCCTGTTTGCTCCCTAATTAGGTCTCTTATTCTTAGAATTACTGACCAGATTATGAGGGTGGTTACCACAGTGTTTAGATGTTTTGGATTTGAAAAAAGAAACTTTCTAACAAAGTTAATCATCTACATTCACAGGAAAGTAAGAAATAGCACAAGCAATAGTCAAAAAAGGGGGTAAATAGCCATAAAACTTTTAAAGGCAGAACACAACCTTTTATGAGCTAGCTGTGGAAAGGAAGTTTTTTTGCTATTTTCCCCTTAACTACAATAAAAACATGCTAGCAAAATCCCTACCATTGCCCTTGAAGGCCAACGTCTGCTTCTTCAGGAAGGCTGAAGGCACCAGGCTTCGTGCTGTTAGCACGCAACTGAGTGCGGAGAAGAGAGTTTGAGAAACAGCCCGTGGCTCTAAGCACCCTTGAGAAGAACAGTAACAGGCAGACAAGGATGAAGTAACTGGTCTTGCGAGTCACAAAATTCCTTCCCACAGTGCACTGCCAGGCAGGATCAGATTTCCTGTCAAATTGCTGCAGAAGAGACCACTAGGAACTCAGTATTACTATTCAAGTGCTGTCTTTGGAGTGGTGGAAAGGACTTAAATAGAATGAATTGTGAAAGAAAGGGGAAGAACTGGAAAAGTGCATATAAGGAGTAGAAAAAAGAACATAAAAACAGCAGCCTGCAGAGAAAGTCTGACTGGATTATCTAATGTCCACAGAATTTGCTTCTCTAGAACTACTTACCCACCGATATTTTTTCCTTGATTTTTGAAGATAGCATTCAGTAGGAAGACATTATGAGCAAACACTTATTCTCTTTACATGAGCTGCAACGTCACATTCAGTGTTGCATTCCTCCAGAGACTGAATGGCACACTCCACAGCATCCTGCTGCATCTCTTCAGACACATCTGTATCCTTTACCACAACCATCTGATCACCCATGGCTACCTGCAATGAACAAAGGAAAGCCTTCAAAGCTGCTGGAGCACCGGCCTGCCAGGATCACCTGCCAAGCACTCATAGACATCATTCACATCATCACTGACAAAAGGTTTTCATTCTGCCCATCCCACACTGTGCTAAGGCCTGAGTAGCACACTCCACAGAGTCTTGCTGCATCTCTTCTGACATGTCCGCATTCTTGATCACTGCCTTTCGATCACTCATGGTTGTCTGTACTGAACAAAGAAGAAGAGAATTCAAAGTTGCAGGAGCAGCTGCCTGCCAAGCAGGCACGCAGGTGTCACCACTCACAGCCAGTTCTCGGGGCCCACGCCGCGCCCCGGGCCCCG